ACAGATAAATATTGAATCAGTTGAATATAAAAATAAATAGATGATAAACGTATTTACTATATCAGCTTAGAAACATACCATGTTTCCACCAGATGAAAGTTAGAGCTGAGAGATGCTTTACTTTGCATAAAAACATTATGTCACCTATGAAATTTTAAGAGGTTAAATTACAAATTGTTAATAGATATAGACTAATATTAACGGTGTAGTCTTATACTCCTGAAATAACAATTTTTTTTTTGAGACAGAGTCTCATTCTGTTGCCTGGGCTAGAGTGTGGTGACATCAGCCTAGCTCATTGCAAGCTCAAACTCCTGGGCTCAAGTGATCCTCCTGCCTCAGCTTCCGGAGTAGCTTGAAACCACAGGTGCACGCCACCACGCCCAGCTAATTTTTTGTAGAGCTGACGTCTCGCTCTTCCTCAGGCTGGTCTTAAACTTCTAGTCTCAAGTGATCTTCCTGCCTCAGACTCCCAGAGTGCTAGGATTACAGGTGTGAGCCACCACGCCTGGCCTGAAATAACAATTTTAATGTCTTTATGTTGGCCCATTTTAAGATCATGATGATAAACAAAAAAGCTCATACCCGAAATGAGTATTTCGAAATTAAGATTCAATTAAGTGGGTTACTTTGACTGTTAATTCCAGATTTCCAGATGAACTAAATTGTATTGCTGTATCTTGTAATACTTTTCCTTCAGTAGCTTTTTATATATTTTAGTTGGTATAATTTTACTTTTTTATGTTAATTTGACTTAAATCTGAAAAATATTTCGATCTCAATTTATGTATTCTTATAAGACCTCTTAATTCCTTAAAGGGATCTATCTTTTATTAAATCATAATTTGGGAGACGTGAATTTTAGCAAAATCATATTTGATATAATCTTCTCACTGGTATCTACAATTTACCGTGAATATCTTTACAAATAATTTTGCTCATAATTATTATTTCATGGCTCAATAACTACCATTTGTATATAACTTTGTCTACTACAAAGATAGTTGTAGCTATCTGTGATTTATTATTAATAGTTTGGCATTGGGTCTCCATTTTCAGACTAATGAGGCTGTCAGGATTCTTGTATAGTGGGAATGGAGTGAGTAGGGGAGAGAGTTGTAGCAGCTGAGGGCAGAGAGGGAGGTGGAGGCCGGGTTACGTAGGGCCTTTAGGGCCATTGGAGTTTTGCTTTTATTCTGAGATAGGAATCTATTGGAAGGATTTGAGCATGTGGTTGAATATTAAATATGTGAAGAACTCTGAGGTTGATTTGAGCTTCTAATCAAAAAGAGGGAAAACATTTCACAGTGCAGAATTTACCACCACCAGTACCCCCCCACACCCCACTTCTTTTTGAGACTTCAGTAGGTTGTTAAGCATTGCAGATTCACCAAGAGACAAATGACTAGTGGGCTGAATCTGTTGTCTAAATAACAGAATACTGATTCGACAGGAAGATAACACCTTCTGTGTCCTTCACCGAATTCGGTGATAAACAGGAATGTGTACACATGAGAAAAAGAAGGTGAACTGATGTATATGGTGCTATTTTTCAAATTATATATGTTAGAGTTAAACATTATTGACATAATTTAATAATGTGATTTATAAAATCAGTAACAAAAAATTATCTCATCAGGTAGTTGTGAGACAACTTCAACAAGAACTGGCTGATACCCTAAAAAAACAGTCTATGTCAGAGGCTTCCCTAGAGGTTACATCACGTTATCGCCTTAATTTAGAAGATGAGACACAGGATTTAAAGAAGAAATTAGGTCAAATCAGAAGTCAAGTACGTATGAAATCCTAACATGTCATGTAGATTAATGTGTCAACAATTAATCTACAGCTGGTTCAACAATATAAAGTGTTTTAGGATATTACAATTTTCTTTTTTATTTTCATTATAGTTAATCTTATTACAATTTTGTTATCTTTATAATGTACTTATTTCTTAAACTTTCACTTTCACTCTGCCATTTTTTTCTTATGATCGTATACATGTTTTTTTATAGTATTAATATTTACCATTAGGAAAGCTGAGAATTATGCATCATTTCTCAGAGACTTTTTTCTTGTTAAACAGTAGTTTTTATGATTTCTCTATTGCCATGGTAAGGCAAGCCAGATTAAATCAGAGGATAATGTTTAATGGAATGTTCCAGAAAATTATCTTTTTTTTTGTTTTTTTAATTTCAGAATATTACAGGGGTACAAACATTTTGGTTACATAAATTACTTGAGCACCTTTTGAGTCAAAGTTATAAGTGTGCCCATCCCCCGGATAGTGTACATTGTACCCGTTAGGTGTGAATTTACCCATCCCCTTCTCTTCCCCCACCTGCTTGATTTCCGATGAATGTTATTTCCATAGGTACACATAAGTGTCGATCAATTTGTCTTTTTTATTATCTTTACTTTTGTGAATGGATATAGAATCTGTATATATTTATTTCTTGGATTTCAGATTAACTTGTACAGGAAGGCCATTATACTGTTTTCTAAAATGCAAATGTTTTTGGTTAATTTACAAACTATTTAAAAAGTTGAGGTATTTCCTTCATTTTCCTTTAATTTTAAATATATTGTAAAAGCATAGAAATAGATCATATGTAATATTAATATGTACCTACAAAATGGAGAATTAAAATTATCTAGATCTTGCCATAGGACTTTTAAAAACAAGATTATTGAGATATAATTCACATACCATACCATTGACTCATTTAAGGTATACAACTCACTGTCAGTGTATTCACAGATTCTGTAACCGTCACCACAAGCAATTTCAGAACATTTCCATCACCCTGAAAAGAAACCCTGCCTCCCTCAGCTGTCACCACCACCCTCCATCCCTCTCATGTCCCTCCACCTTCCCCGGTCCTAGGCAACCACCACATACTGTGTGTCTCCATAGATTTGTCTGTTCTGGACATTTCATATAAATGGAACCATACAATATATAGTCCTTTATGATTGGCTCATTTCACTTAGCATAATGTTTTCAGGGTTCATTCATCTTTAGCACGTATCAGTACTTCTTTGTTTTTTTATTGTCAAATAATATTTTATCACATGGCTATACCAACTATCTATTCATCAGTTGATGGACCTCTAGGTGGTTTGTACTTTTTGGCTATTATGAGTAACGCTGCATGAACATTCATTTACAAGTTATTGTGTGGACATATATTTTTATTTCCCTGCCATTGGATCTTATCCTCAGAGTTAATTAGGCTGATATCATCATCTCTCTGCCTTACTCAGGCTGTCCTTCCTGCCCCTTCTGTGTCTGTTCTTCTAGCTTCATTCATTCAGACTGATGTACACAATTTCCCCTTCTTCATAAAGCTCTCTCTGACTGTTCTCTCTTGCACCTTACACTTCAGTGCTTGTTGTCTAGTCTGTGCAGAACAATTTAGCCCTTAATTTTATGTTGCTTTTATTTTTTTTATGAAAGATAATCTTGTATAATTATAAATTCACCTAGGGAAGAATAGTATCTGATATGCATGT